TTTAGATATGCCTGTTGATAGAGAACTTGACCTTTGACCTGCTTTCACGTTTCTGAGCTCTGGCGAGATACCTTTTCACAATGCTTTACCTTTTCAAGGCCCATACTGCTTTATTTTTACAAGGCCTGAGGCCTATATCGGGCAAAGGCCCTTTTAACACTGTTTACCCAACAATATACCCTGGGGTCAACCATTTGGGCCTTTTGTTCAGAGTTAAACCACCAGTACTTGGCCCAGCTATCGATGCCGAGCCTGGAATCCCCCTGTGCGTTGATATCTGCCGAAGCGACGGGGTACCGTTTCATTTTTCTTTTGGCTGGCAGTACTTGGCCCAGCTATCGATGCCGAGCCTGGAATCCCCCTGTGCGCCGATATCTGCCGAAGCGACGGGGTACTGTTTCATTTTTCTTTTGGCTGGCGCTTCCAGCCATTCAGGTCCGGTAACCTCAAGCCCTAAATCCGCACCGCATTATCGGGGAAGAGCCGCGGCGGATAGATGGGCCAAGTACAGGTGGTTTGAGTGTCCACTCTCATGGGTTTGGGGTTTGTCATACAGGGCGCAATCTATAGGGTGTGTTGTTTCAAGGTTTTGTGCGTAGGGTGTGATACGTCGAGAACATGGAATGAAAAATGTAGACAAAAGGGCTTAAATTATATCGCACCCTAAGCATGAAACCCTAAGGGCTTGAGGGTTTTCTTTTTTTAATATGTGAAAGGTGTGGAGGTTAGCGTGGACTGGCGACATTATTAGCAGCGATCAGATCTTGTTGGTAGCGCGGGACAATTGCAGTTTGCGATCTTTGCTGAGTATACACCGCTGCTAGCATAGCTATCTAACCTCTCTTTGGTGAAGGGAGGTTACCTCTCTCAGTGGAGGGAGGCGATTGCATGTTTGCAGCTTGCCCTAGTGGCTTAGGGTGCAGGGTTCGGGCCGTCGGTGGGGGCCCGACTAACACGAGGACCGTGCTACTAGCGCAAGGGTGAGGGTCTGGTTACCGCCAGGACTGGGCGAGCACAAGGGTTATGGTGCAGGGTTGGGGCCCCGGCTAGCAGCAATCGGATTTTGTAGATAGCTATGCTTGCAAGGATTGCGCAAAATGAGAATGAATCTTCCTCGAGAACATGGGAAGATACAACCCCATTTTTTTGGGTATTTTGTGCATGTTGTGAGTAGTGGAGCGAGGCCCTAAGAAAAATGTGTCATCGGGCCCGGCTCCACTACACACGCAATGTGCAGAACGAAAGTGGCTCTTTGGGTGGAAAGACGCACCGCCTTATTGTTTGTCTTTTCTGCATGTGGTGAGCAGTGCAGCGAGGCCTACTAAAGAACAGATCGTGTTCAAGTACAGAAAAAAGGCCATCGATCGATCTCCTTACAACGAAAACGACGAATGTACACAGCAGTGCTTACTCCGCCAATCGGTTCCCCATCGCCCGCGCCTGGCCGTGCCTTCGACCGTTTTTTTTTTGGCACCCCGATGGTCATCCCGCGGTCCCGCGTGGTCTGGGCCGGGTTTCCTGCTGGGTCCCACACAAGGACCGCTGAATTTTTCAGGAGTACAAGTCGACCTGCCACGGCCACGCCGTGGCGCGGAGAAGGGAGGGGGTGCAAAGAGGGAACAAATGCAGGAGAGGAGAAGGTAGTTGCTTGAGGGAGGGAGAGTTCCATGAACATAACAGCAGGCAAAAGAAGGAAAAAAGAACAGTAGGTCAAACTGTCGAACATGGCCAATGTATGAACCGAGAAGCAGCGATCTGCTGTAATTAACAAATGCGCCGAGCTTTGTTGGAACATCAGGGCATAGATTGCAATGTGTGGAACATGTACAGCAGGCAAAGAGGAGGGAGAAAAAAGAAAAAAAAAACACCGGTTGGAACGAACATGACCCATGTATGAACTGCGAAGAGGAATTATCACAAACATGTACACAGTGTCCATCCCATAGCTGAGTGCACCTTGGAACTCCTCGAGAGCCGATGTTGTTGCTGACCCCCACAGCCAGAATCCACAATCTATGTATCCCCCGCGGCTGCGGTCACCGCGGCCATGACCGCGGGCCCGCGGTCATGACCGCTGCGGCCGCGGTCGAAAAAGGCACGCCGCGGGCGAGGGGGAGGGGGTACCGGAGGTCGGGGTCGGGATTCCGGGGGCGCACCCGAGGCCCCACCTCCCCACATTGAAAAAAAAAAAAACTTAAAAATGCGGGGGTCCATTTTAGGGGGGGGTGGAGAAAAATAATGGACCCCCTTCCATTGCTTTTTTATTTTTTTTTTACTTTTCTCTTTTTTGTTCTATTGTACCGTTGCCAAGTTTTTTATTGTTTT